TTAGATTAGACTAAGGGTAGACTAACCCGACAGATATAGCATGCAGACAGGAAACATTGCCAAATTGAAAAATATATTATTATTTTTTTTACGAGGCAAAAAAGGCCTGGGGACTCCAGTAGTTAACTACAGCAAAACAAAATTAGGTCACCTGCTCTGCCAGACAAGCTGTGTACATCTTAGGACTGGATGGACAGAAATACAAATCCTTTGGCAGGTAAATATCTCCCATATACAGTATGTACTTTATCTATGTATTTAGCTATTTGGCTGGAGTTCAGCTTGAAAGCACCCTTACCAACTGTTTGCTGCCAGTGACCATTCGTCATTGCTCTGTGCACTTTGTTATTAAATTACTGCATTTGAGTCCATTTGTGCTTGGAAAAGCAAGACACTCCAAACAATGTCGTAGAGCTTACACTAGAAGTCTCTGCGTTAAGAATATACCCACCCCCACCCCGACCTTAATGGGCATTCATTGTAAAAATCAGCTTTAGAGGCATTGCTTGCAATCGAACATTGTGGTTTGCTTTGCAATCTGAATTAAAGAATGGCTGATGAGCAAAACATGCAAACCTTTAATCACCATTGCATTCAGTTATAACTATCTCTCTCTATATATATAATCGTTATATTAGTCATAATTTATCCATTATTTGTTCAAATTATATTGACTCTAATTAAATATAACAAAAATAAAATATTTCCCTTTAATACATATACAGATTTTTTTTTTAGTGTGAGCTTTCTCCTGGGGGAATAGAAAATGGTACAAGCATGTATCAGCCTATTAGCTGCCAGCATTTCCCAGCAACACATTAACAGCAATGTGCTGACGATGCCACCTAATGGCAGCCACTGATGCGAAAAGCCAGAATGGGGATGTCAGTAGAAACTGATGCATAATTATTAGTGATGCTGATGCCCAAATTTGTTGTCTCTGCCTTAATCCTCTACATTATATCTATAGGCTTCTATTAGACCCTCTAAAGAATGCACAAAACCGGATACGCTACAGATGGAGCCAATGACAAAGATGGAAACATCGAAAAAGACATGATGCCACAGAAGCTTCCTCCACTGAAGCTTAAGATGGAAGAGGCTCGGAAGGAGGAAGCAGAGACCAGCTCCTGTGAGGCTGCCAGTGAGACCCATTAAGAGGGCAAAGTGGGGCACGTAGATGGCCATGAGCAAGGTTAAAACGACTAGGGCACATCTGAGAGTGAGTCCCCAAGATTTTATTCTCCCATCACCCGCATAGCAGTTTGGGAAGAAGGCCCTGCTCCCCTCCTGAAAGAGAGACCTTTCCAAGACCTCCACTGCAGCGAAGAAGGGCAGTGGGTAGGACAGCAAGGCTTTGGCCACCAGGAATAAGTTAACCACTGCTCTGATAGTTGAGGGTAGGTTGTCTGTTATGACCTCCTTGGTTTCATCTGCCCAGGTCAGATAAGCCACCAGAGCAAAAAGACCTTTGAGAATGCAAGCGGCAATGTGGGTCCAGTTCATCATGCAGTGGAATTCTTTAGGCTTTTGCATGTTCCCTTCCAGGGAAGGCAGGAAGATCTGAGAGGTGTAGCTGAAGACAATGATACCGATGGAGATAGGAAATTTTTTTACATCAATGTAAAACTTGACTTTGTCCCAAGCCCAGTCTCTAGCTCTGGAAAGACAGTAGGCAATCACTAGGACATTAATGACAAAATGAGCTAAGGTGCAGAGCAAGCTGAACTTGGAGACAGACTTTAGGTTTTTGAGGAATGCACATGGTAGAAGCACAGCTGTGGCTATGATTGACCAGGACTTTTGGGAAACTGGCAGGGTCGGGAAGCTGTTATACATCAAGTTTCCGCTGACCACCACATACAGGATGCATGTCATGACCAGTTCAATAATCTGGGCCACATTGACAATCCTTCCTCCGAGTTTTGGAAACCTCGGTGCGCAGCAGGCGTTGGCAATGTCCACATAGGTGTCCCTGGTCCTCACAATCTCTCCGTCTTCATTCTCTTCATACAGGCAAGCAATGAGAATCTTTCCTGTGTAGCAACACACGACTGCAGCAAAAATAATGAGGAACAGTCCCAGGTATCCACCGTGTAGAATTGCGTAAGGTAATCCCAACACAAACATCCCCTGCAAAACAAAAGCAGAAAATAAGTGAGGTCCCCTCATCCCAATATATAATTTTCTATGTGTGTGTGTGTGTTTGACTGTAACAAGCTTGGAAGATATGTAAAGCCAATGGATAGAGCAGAACAAATGTCAAGTTTTTTTTTGTTTTCTCATTGAGTATATTTTCCTTCACTTGTCATTCCTGTCCCATCGACACAACAGGAAGTGAGAAGAAATCTCTTCAAAGTGGTGGGAAATCCTCTCTTAGGGCCCATATACAGCAGCCCATTGCAGTAAGGTGCTCGTCACCGCAACACAAAGTAAAGGACCATATACTGTATGTGTTACTGTATCATTCATTTTTTCATGTTAAATTACACCCCAGCAAGCAAGCCTGTGCTGCAGCACATCATGATGTGGGTTGTGGTGCTCTGCAAATATAGATAGATGGATATTGTCCATCTATAGTTATCTATTGTCATATAGTGGGTTGTGGTGCTCTGCAACAAATGCCACAAGAACTATTTTATTGTGCATTGCAGCACATGTATTTTGAAAAGGCTGCCTAAAGCATCATGCCCAAAACGGAGTTCAGATAAACTTTAACTTACTTTTACCCTTTCTATGATATGTGATAATATAGAAGTAAATTCAAGCCATTAAGGTCAAAATGGTATACAAAATCAATGAATCATGTGCTTCTACATAATGCAAATACACAAATTTTAAAAAAATTATGATATACTCTTTGAGGACACACTTCTTGCTATGAACGCCTGCCTTACATGTTCTAAAAGGGAATGTGAGGTGTATTTGCTTATGTTCACTTTATTTTTGTGAATTAAAAACTGTAAAAATATGTTTTTATTCAGGTAAACATGAAATATTGCATATGGATATTTTATACTGACATTTTTAGCCAGCTCTGTACTCAATGTATTTTTTTTCCCAGGCTATACTTACATGTTTTTGAAAAATTCAGTTGTTTGCAACATTCAGTAGCTCAAGGTGATATTTATACACACTATTCAATGACTGGATCACCCACATTTACACACACATTCATCCTCAGTTATTCTACCTCAACTTTTGAATTACAAATAGTTTACTTTGAAGGTTGAGCATTCCCATACCAAGTTAAAAGGCCCCACCACCATGCCTATATGCACATCATTCCACTGTCCAGTGATGAGTCAGGGCCTAAGGGTAGTGGCTAGATATCATAGACAGCCATATTCCCTTATTTTATATAACGGAATCTTATATGTCTGTTGATACTCCAACAGGGATAGCTCCGTGCCATTATTCTTGACTCTATTCCTATTCACCTGGAAGCTTCGATTGTTCCCAAACACCGTTGTGTGTTCCGGCTCCTTCTCTTACAATTTCAATAATACAGATCAACCTCTATCAACCTTATTAGCCTGGACTCATTTTTAGGACCCAGGGAACCCCCCACTGAAAATTATTATATATAAAGGGCAAGGTATATTAGTGGGATCAGTAAGTTGCAGAAAGTTTTGAAGAAAATGTTGTACGCCATATTGTTTTTAAAGAATGTTGAGTATTTGACTCCCACAGCAGATCATTTGTCAACAGACTCCTGCTATATACCCCGAAAACCTGTTTCAATAATGACCAAAAAGTGAGAAAATAATGAACAGAAAAGAAGCATAGGTAATGAAAATTGTAGTGTCACCTTACACTAGTGGTCAGTAGAGGAATGCCCCCTTACATAACAGGTCAGTAGAAAAATGCCCTGTTGCAGTGCTGGTCTGTAGGGGAAAAGCCCCTTACATTGGTGGTCAATGGGGATGCTCCCCCTTAAGATGGGGAACAGTGGAAAAGTACTTCCTTACATTAGTGGTCAGTTTAGTGGCCCCTTACATATGTGGCCACTGTAGACGTGGCCCCTATCATTGGATATCAGTGGACAATTCTGCCCTAAGATTGGTGGTAGGTATAGGTAGAAGATCAATATGCCACAGCTCAAGGAACCCCTAGCAACCTCTGGAGGAACCCTAGGCTCCCATGGAACTCAGGTTGAGAAAGTCTGAAATAAATAATTCAAAAATGTCAACATAGAGAGTATTCAGCAGGTCTTCAGACCCAGAAACTCAAGCACAGAGGTCTCACCAATACACCCCTTTAGAGACAGATAAACTTGATAGGTGCTTTAACTCTTCAGTATGCACCACACACAGAAATAATATAATTGGGTGGACTGACCTGGTAATTATAGATTCCACATCACCACAGCATAGCCATTTACCTGTGTACCATTCCTACTCATATACACAGTATATGTGCACAGTATATGTGTCTGTAACAGATTACAATCACTTAGCTGATCATATTAAAGGAAAAGTATTGCGAGAATAAAATATAATCTTCCCAATACTAAGAGCCGCTGTGGGACACTACAGCTGTCACAGGCTAGATCTATACTGAGAGCTGGAAGTTCATGTAACTGCTGATCAGACTGCTGGTCTCCTCCTGCAAGATTGTAAGTCACCACTCCCTGCAGAGATTCCCCCTTCCCTCTCTGTTCCTCCAGCACTCATTGGAGGGAGAGAAACGGGAGAGGGCGGGCACAGCTGGCTCTGGTTCTAGAGAGGCAGAGCCAGCTGTCAATCAGGCAGCCGGCTGGACCGCGACCATATTGTTGGAATCCCTACCGGCTGCGGCGTGGCTCTGCTAGGCGATCAACAGGTAGATCTCGATCGACCTTATGGGCACCCCCTGTGCTAGAGTCTTCTAGCAGGTCCCAGCCAATGAATAACAACCGCCCAGTTGTTATTGTTTCATGACAGATCAGCGTCCCCAAATGACATTTGGGGACGCTGATCTGTCATTACAACTGGGCAGGGCCAACCGTGAGATCACGACTGGCTCCGCCCAGCTGTCATTTGCGAGGCGTTCGGCCGGCCATTCGCCTCGCTTCGGCTGATCCTTCGGCTAGCTTTGTGAATAACGCTCTAAGTGTCAGAGCTCTGCCTGTCAGAAGGGCCTAGCATTCAGCCTAGAAAGAAAGATTTGGGAGGCTGCTGTAAGTATGAGGTGCCTGCAGAGTCTCTTTAACTTCATTCACTAAGCTAAGTGCAGATTTGTTAGTAAAATCAACACTATAATCTTTGTGTTCCAAGTCTGTCACATAACTTTTTCTACTCCTTCAAGAAGAACCCTCCAGGGGATATACAAATAAGATGCCCAATCAAGTCTCACTTTTAGATATCTGGATGAAGTGTTATAAACAATTATTGATGGATACATGTACCATAGACAGTACAGATACTAAAACCAAACATTAGTGTAATTGTTACATTCTTGCCTGTGGTCTTGCTAAAATTATTTTTACAACATATCAATTAAATATCCTGCCTGACCAAAAAGAAGTCACACAATCACTCTAATGTTTTGTTGGATCACCTTTAGCTTAGATTACGGCACACATTTGCAGTGGCATCATTTCGATAAGCCTATGCAATGTCATAACATTTATTTTTGTGCAAAGTTGCATTTATTTTTCACCAAGATCTTGTAATGATGATGGGGAAGTTGGACCTCTGCATAAAGTTTTCTCCAGCACATGCCAAAGATTCTCAATGGATTAAGGTCTGGACTCTGTGGTGGCCAATCCATGTGTGACAATGATGTCTCATGCTCCCTGAACCACTCTTTCACAATTTGAGCCCAATGAATCCTGGCATTGTCATCTTAGAATATGTCCAATGTGCCATCAGGGAAGAAAAAATCCATTGATGGAAATACCTGGTCATTCAGTATATTCAGGTATCTGGCCTTTTTTGGGGGGGATATGACATTGCTGAACCTAGACCTGAAAAACTGCAGCAACCCCAGATCATAACACTTATCCAATGGAAGGCTCCAGACTATTTGCTTAGCTAAATCCAGTTGGTGACTTTTTTTTTTTTTTGGCCAGGCAGTGTACTTATTGGAATGAGTTAGATTTAAATTGCAGCACTTTTTATACTGTGCAAGTGAGCCTTTGCAATATCTGTAATTTCCCTCTAAAGTGGGCCTGTCATGAGAGAAATAAGAGATTCCTATTCCTGACTTCTGCCCACAAATTCTAGTTACTGGCTCATTGACTTTGATACAATTTTCCAATTCGCTGAGCCAGACAAAGTAGGCAGATCAGGATAATCAGAGAAAAGTCAGAACTCTTTTGGCTTGGTGTGATCAGAAATCGCCCCGTCCCACCTCCGATCCAGTGTACAATAAAATACTACGGCCATTCAGGATTATTCTAGTGGGTGATAATGGGCACTTCTGTCCTCATTGTGCTTCAGAAAAAAAAAAAAAAAATTTGGCAAATCTCAGATCTTATCTGGTCACATTTTCCAGGTCAGTGGCTCAGAAGGTATCAAAGACATGGGATCAACATGACATCCAGTCAACTAGCATCATCAGAAGGAAAGGTAAACAATGGCAGACTCCATGGCAGGTTTCCTTTAAAACCAATGTTTTATTATTTTTTAGTTTTGGATAGAAGGGGGAAGAGATAAAACCTCTATTAGGTTATTTTTTGCTGTGTATGTCCTAAAACTTCCTGTTTTGGAGATACAAATCTCCCCAGAGAGAAAACACAAAAAACAATGAAAACAGCAGTGGGTCTAACTCTTCCGCTTCCTATCTAAAACTTTTAAAAAAAAAGTGACCTCTACATACTCTTTAATGAAGAACTCTGGGCATGTGCAAAATTAACTCTTGCAGCGGGTTTATCCCCACACTGCAAGGGTTATGTTCTCATTTTGGTCTAGGGTCTAAAATAAAAAAGAAATACTCACCCAAACCTTGGTGACTACTCACCGAGCTCCCTCCTATCTGGATGCAGAAGGTCTCTTGGCGTCCTCACGTCGAATGCAAGTGAATGGACGTGATGACATCATGGGTCCTTAGGCCGACGGAGCTCATGGTAGAAAGGGCAGGGGGACCGGTCTAGCAGCCAGGCAGGACCAATGGTCAGGTGACTATATCTTTTTTTAGACCCTAGACCA